ATTATGGTAATAATTATTGATTGATGATTATGATGATTAAATCTTGATAAATGTTCTGATTAAAAATGGTAATTATGAATGATTAAATCATAATAAATATATTGATGATTGTGAAAATAATATGTATTGTTAAGGGTATCTAGAAGACCTCTAAGATATACCCATATTAAAGTTGATTTGAAAGGTATCTAGAAGAACTCTAAGATATACCTATATAAGTTAGGCCTTGCGGGTATGATGCCCGGTGACTAGGGTTAAAACGTACATACGGGATCCAAGAACCAAACTTGAGTACCTACTCGTTTGGGGGTACCACCCAACCCAACAGTGAACACTACGCTGTCGGTTTTTGGTTGACCTTAAGTGAAGGTAAGTTTAAGATTAGGAAAACTCTTTTAAAAAATATATCTAAAATAGGCCTAGCTTAAGGATTAAGATATCTTGAACTAGAATTAGTTTAAGAATGGAATTGGCCTTAGACTAAGAATAGTTTAAGGATATTGTTGAATGACAAATGATGAATATACATGTTGAATGATTGAATAATGAATGTTGAAAATTTGAATATTGATTATTGAATATCTGAACTGAACATTATGTGCATGATATCAAATGGTTGATTATGAATTGAGATTCAATTTATGTGGATGTTCGACGCATTAGATATGCTTACTTAGCTTTACCGCTGAGCGTGTAGTGTGTTTTATTTGCTACACGCAGGTCAATAGAATGATGTGACGTGATCCTGGAGGCAGACGGAGGCGAGATAATCGGAATGGATGTGATGGTTTTGAATTAAATAAATTATGTTTGTGGTTATGATTTGTTAAGCTTCCGCAATATTGAAAACTCTGTACTGCTTATGATATGAAAAAATATTATTATGATAAATAAAAGTGTTTGAAATGTTTAAAATTTTACGATTTCCAAGTTAATACTTTAGTCCGAAAGGGGCTGCAGACCTGGACGGATTAGGGTGTTACAATTTGGTGTCAGAGCAAATGGTTTTAAAACCGATCTTCGGATCAAAATAAAAAAAAATTTGAGTCAATCACATCCACGACTCTCGCGTCCCTCTGCTCCAGGAAAGGTATGAGAATTTACTTGGTAAATATTTACTCTGTTAGAATTCTCATTAAATAACAATTGTTTAGTACTCAAATTGTATCGAGCTTAGACTCTAATAGAACTTTCGTACTCAGTAAAGAGACGCAAGAATGAATGAAAAATATATGACCCTCTGATCCGTTATTAACGTACGCATCGCATCGCGAAGGACAAAACTGATCTGCATCGCAAAATCATACGAAAGTGAGACGACTATGAAGAAACGACAATTGTTGAGAAACAGCTGTGAAGCCGATGTCAAAGATCCTCATGTGGACTCAAGACGATCTAATCGCTGATTCAAACACGAACGTTTAGAATCAATAAACTCTGTTATCTAAAGCATCCCATTCTGATGTCTAACTCATTAAGATGCAAATATGCGATTATATCTTAGGAATCAAAATCGTTCGTTAAGCGACAACTCCTTGCAAAACCTCGTTGAAATACCATACAAGGAATTTGACAATTATCATTAGTATACATTGGCTGATCGAACGACATGGGTATTGACAACTCTTGACGAAGAATTCTTCAACTGAAGATTGATGATGGAAACCTTATATAGGTGAAAGCAAAGCTGATTTCTAAACCGACCGAGTTCATCTCGAATTTATGTGTGCAAACCTCTTAACTAAAAGGAGCATGAAGTCTATTCTTGGGATATGCGAAAGAAAGATCTGAGCTGAAGAAACGTACCGAAATTATGTCACCTCTCTGATATGAACTCCCTGATATCTCATCGCTCCGAGAAATTGAAATCTTTGTCAATCTTGATCCTAGAAAGGACCAATATTCATAACTCCGTATTGAATGTGTTTCCATCAAAACTGAAAACTTAATTATGAAGATTGCTTGACAAAGAATCATCTGATAAAGTGTTTCCTCCTTAGGAGAATACTTGTTTTGTTCATATGCGAATCAATAAAACTCTATATCAACTACTGTCAGTTGAACAATTCGTTATCCTTTACCTCATATCATGACTTATTTGATCAGCTTAGAGAATCCATTGTGTTCTCTTAGATTGACTTACGGTCAGGATACTCACAAATTTCTGTTAAGAAACTTGAAGAAACCGACGATCGAGAATTGCTATCATTCACTTTGAACTGACGACTTATTCGATCAAATTCAAATAATCTGCTTGTTGGAAACTATAAAACGCTCAACCTTGTTGAATAAACTGATGCCTTGTTATGAAGCGATTAATGACCCAATTGTTCATCATCGAAAACGTCGATGTAGTCTGATGGAATAAATGAAGTAAGGTATGCTCACAAAACAAATCATTAAGATAGTTGACTCGTTTGTATACCCTATTGACGTAGAAGATTGCGACGTGGTGACAATACAAAATAAGAAGTGAAATAGTGACACCAACAGTGAAAGACTGAAGAATGAAGAAATGTAACTCGCACTGGCATACAACGTAGAATAATATTTATAGATAATATTATTTCAACACAAATACAACTGGGATTACATGAGAAAAGTTACAGATGTAATTCTAAGTCTAACCTCTCAGGATTTACAAACTCGTCGTAACTAGCCCCAGGACCCGGGAAAGCTTTAGCAAACTCAAGTTTGTCTAAAAGCTCATCAACAAAGAAAGAAGAAATGAAAAGTTTCCTCTGACTCAAAGACATGAAGTTCTGCCTCGTCGCATCGTTTATAAATTTGATTAGGTTATTAAAATAACCATCAATGTTCAAGAGACCAATGGGTCTATTGTGTAACCCTTCAGAATCCCACGAGATCAAGGTGAACAAACCTTCTATATTGTCAACTCCTCTGGGAAGAATGATGAAAGCTTCCACGGCATGATTCATCTCGAAATACTTGTAATAGTTGCTGGAAACTGTATGCTCTACACCGTACGTAGGTCCATAGACACCTCGTGTTGCTATGTACCCAGGAATAAATCCTCTAACGAGACCACCATTGGTAAAGACTGTTGAAGCAACAGCTCCTTGAAGGCCAACACTACCTCCTCCATAGGCAAGTTTAATCTTTCGCCTTATCAATTCCCTTCCTAAATCTACCGCAGTAGCCATAAACTTTGAATTTCTACCAAGAGAATGACTGCCAAGTAGACCAACGAATCTTATGGTATAAGAAAGAGCTCGAGATGGCCCTTCCATAATGTGAGAATGTGAGATGCTCTTGCCACAATTTGATATATATATATATAGCCTCTGAAACTGGACCATTGATGGAAAGGTAATTATCACTAGCCAAAATAGGTACAGTGTAAAATGGATTACCTGCAAACAAGAACGTACTCAGTCTAATGATGACATGACGTGTTGAGACTCATGAACAGTTAGATTCGATGTCCTGGAATACGTTCAAACCCGAGACAAAAAGTCCAAATGTCTAAAACCCTAATATAATGACTTCTTGACTAACTTCCAAAGAGTGAAACATTGAAGGAAGAAAACCTACGATTAGTAACGGTAATTCACAAACGCTATCTTTGTATCTTGTGATTCATATCCTTGAAATACTCAAACTTGTTGTGTTAACTACACCCTTGAAAACATCTCGCTTGATCAATCTTAAAAAGATTGAATTTCATTCTTTGTATCACGATACTAAAACCATGATTCTTCATTGGAACCAAAACAATTCTCGGTGATACCATGATATCGATCTTTGGAAACTATACCCTATTGAATACGTGACTCGATCACAATAGTAAAACTACCCTGACTTAAACATTATGTTAAATCTCTCTTTGTGGACTACAAAACAATCAATACGATTACGCTATCTCTGAAGATTAGTATTGATGATATTGTTGGAATCCTAGCAAGTAAATATGCGACAACCAGAGAAAAATAACGTCATAAGAACAGGCTAAATCATTCAAGTGAAGATCCCGAACCTATATGTGATGTTGGTATAAGAACTAATAAAGATTCCTCACTCTATGAATTCATGAATTGAATCGCGTACTGAAGATATTCTCTTCTTCCCTTGAAACAAGATCAACAATAGTGTTACAATCGAACCTATCGCTATCATATCTAGACATGTTTTAAAATTAATGAAAGAAATTTGAATACGACAAGTCGTACATGAGACGCTACTTGAACGTCATCACCTATGAGTACAATGATTCATTAAACGATAAATGAGTGCTATCACGAAGATGAATGAAGAAATGTTTTGACATAAGGTCGATGAATGATGAACTACTGTACAACTGATCGACAGTACTTCCTCATAAATGGAGACCAATCCTAGATTCCAAAGAGGTCATGTACCAATAAAAGCCATTTGATGTACTTACGAATCAATGCTGAACTATGCGAACGATGTGTAGACATTTTGGATGACTTAGAAGATTACGCTATGACGTATCAATTAAACAACCTCCAAATCTTCCCTTACAACTATCTCAAATTTGTAACTGCAAAGGCTACTGAAGGACTTTCAAAAGAAGAAATTTCGTTAACCAACGTTGTACAATTGGGAATTGTGAAAAAATGAAGTTATGTGCGAGTATATCAAATATACGACCGTATAGATTGCAAGGAAACCTTAGTTGTAGATACTGAAGGATCACTGAATGTCTTGCTTAATCAAAGATTGTTAATCTCTTGAAGAAAGAACGAGTTTCGTAACATCGACAGTTTGAGAATAACTATCCGTGTGGATAATGACGTGATTATGATTTAACTTAATGAACATGACGCGATTATGATTAAGTGCGATCACAACAAAATGTTGAACGTTGAGCCTTAGAAGAATTTCGAGGACGAAATTCCTTTAAGGGGGGGAGAAATGTAACGCCCCAAAATGTACCCTAAAATTTATTGAATTAAATATCCAATTAAACAAAAATTTGTTTTGATTAAAATAAATTATTGTTGGGCTTTGGGCCGAAATAAAATGTGTTTTGATATCCAATATCACAATCAGGATAAATCTCATAGAGATAAATCCAATTAGTTGACTATTTGTGTGATCTTGATTGGAAACCTGTGTAGAGACCCAAATTAAGAATAAATGAAGAAATTGTTTTATAATGTGAACGTTGAAATGATTTATTGAAATAAATCATGGAAATAAATAATATGAATTGAATATGAGCACCTTTTTGAGTAAAGGTCAAACAATTCAATTTTGACTCTGTCAAAGTCAAACACCCAAAAATATGATGCCAGAAAAAGTATAACGAATAAATATAAAAATTATATCGTTGGATAGAGTTTAATTGTACGATCGCAACGGTGCAAACGGATTTCAATTCGGAGAAAGTTGGACCAAAAAGTGTTCCCCGACTGGGACCAATTTAGTCCCAATCAGAGACTTGCGTCTGTAATCCTAGCAATCGCCGCTCCCTCCACCGAGACGCCAGAACAGGGAAAAGGATGTCACTACACCTGTGACTTCTTCCTCTCCTCTCCACTATATAAACCTCTCTAAACTTCACCATTTTTCACCATTCTTCTTCCAAGAGATAGCTGAGAGTATAGAGAGTAAAGTATTGCTGTCAAGAAAGCTTGCTATCGCCGGAGCAATGAGATAGAGTCGCCGGAAGTTTCGCCGAAAAATCGTCAAAACCTTCCTTACGCTTCAAGGTAAACCCGTTGATATATCTAGTGACTAGAATGTTCGTATAGATCGTTTCTACGTTCATAAATGGTCGTTTGGTTGAGTTTTGTGTTTGACGTGCTTGAAGAACCAAGAATCATAAACCATGAAATTGATGTTAAAACTATGAATTAATGATGCCAAAATGATCTATGAACCTTGGAGAACATCTCTATATAGTTTTGTTGAAGTTCGATAACTTAAAACGATATTTCCGAAATTGGACCCGAACGAAGAAGAAGATGAACAGTGGCTGAAACACCACTGTCTGGATCGATCCAGGGGCTTGGATCGATCCCCTGGGAGTGATTTTTCATAGTATGGATCGATCCAGAGGGTTGGATCGATCCCCCGAAGTTCTGATCCGAAAATTTGTCTGAAAATGCTATTTTTGAGTTCTAAAATCCTATTTTTGATACCAATTGATTATGATCATTATAAAAATGATTTACCACAATAAAAATGATGTTTTTTAACAAATAAAAATGTTATGTGATGCATGACGGTAATTTCGGGTGTTAACACTCGAAGCTAGGCCGCTAATTGTTATTGAATATTATGTTGATTGATGATTATGGTAATAATTATTGATTGATGATTATGATGATTAAATCTTGATAAATGTTCTGATTAAAAATGGTAATTATGAATGATTAAATCATAATAAATATATTGATGATTGTGAAAATAATATGTATTGTTAAGGGTATCTAGAAGACCTCTAAGATATACCCATATTAAAGTTGATTTGAAAGGTATCTAGAAGAACTCTAAGATATACCTATATAAGTTAGGCCTTGCGGGTATGATGCCCGGTGGCTAGGGTTAAAACGTACGTACGGGATCCAAGAACCAAACTTGAGTACCTACTCGTTTGGGGGTACCACCCAACCCAACACTGAACACTACGCTGTCGGTTTTTGGTTGACCTTAAGTGAAGGTAAGTTTGAGATTAGGAAAACTCTTTTAAAAAAATATATCTTAAACTAGGCCTAGCTTAAGGATTAGGATATCTTGAACTAGAATTAGTTTAAGAATGGAATTGGCCTTAGACTAAGAATAGTTTAAGGATATTGTTGAATGACAAATGATGAATATACATGTTGAATGATTGAATAATGAATGTTGAAAATTTGAATATTGATTATTGAATATCTAAACTGAACATTATGTGCATGATATCAAATGGTTGATTATGAATTGAGATTAAATTTATGTGGATGTTCGACGCATTAGATATGCTTACTCAGCTTTACCGCTGAGCGTGTAGTGTGTTTTATTTGCTACACGTAGGTCAATAGAATGATGTGACGTGATCCTGGAGGCAGACGGAGGCGAGATAGTCGGAATGGATGTGATGGTTTTGAATTAAATAAATTATGTTTGTGGTTATGATTTGTTAAGCTTCCGCAATATTGAAAACTCTGTACTGCTTATGATATGAAAAAATATTATTATGATAAATAAAAGTGTTTGAAATGTTTTAAATTTTACGATTACCAAGTTAATACTTTAGTCCGAAAGGGGCTGCAGACCTGGACGGATTAGGGTGTTACAACCAAGCTGAATAAACAACCATAACAAGCCAAGGAGAATTCAGCATATATTGGTTCATAATTCATCAAGAAAACCCAACTCATGAGAAGCCAAAAGGCCTGCCATATCCTTCCTTCCTTGCTCCCCCACCTTGGCCGTGCATAACCCACCAAAACCCACCACAAAAGAATCCCCATTTCCAGCCAAATAAGTGAGTCTCATGTTCCACCCCCTTACTCCCCACACTAGGCCGAAACACCCTCCCCCACAACCTCACCCTTCCTCCTTATTTTCATTCCATTAAATAAGTGGACATTATTCCCCTAAATAAGTGAATGTACTAGGAAGTTTCCCTCTCCCCTTGGTGTGCTTATATATATTTCGGCCATAGGCCTTGTAAAAATCACCTTGTATTCTGAATTTTCCTTAGTAATACACTTGTGTGTTTGCTTTTCAAATTCCTAAATCTATACCTTAAGAGTGGTTCCCTTGAGTGTGAGTTTTAGATTCTAGTTATTTGAATGAGTGTGTAATATCTTGTTTGAATACTAGATTCAACCGCAAGTAAGCTAAGGGTGTGTAATAACCCTTAACACCAACTTGGTTTTATCCATCCCTGATTTTCTTTCATCTCATACCTCCCCATTTCTCCTCTTAATCTTACTCTTTTCTTCCGTTAAAATACCCAAAAGAACTCTCTTATCCTCGCCACAAATCCCAGCCATTCCCATATTTTTTTATCCTGACTGCTGTTATAATCGACTATCAACAAAGATAATCGATTATCTTCCCCTCCTGAATTCCCTTGGAATAAGCTGCGAGCCCCAATAATCGATTATCATATATTGATAATCGACTATCCACTTTCCCTGAAGTTTCTGGGTTTTAACCGCATAGCTCCACAATCGATTATCACCTAGCCATAATCGATTATCACCTACTCCTGAACTTTGAACCCAAAGCTGCATCATCTCTTAATTCCTTCTCAAAATAACATCTCCTTTAGACCCCCGGTTCGGGTATAATAGTTTAGAGTGAGAAATGGAGGGATATATGGTGGGAGAAAATCAGGGGATATTATCAAGTTGGGGTTAAGATATATTACACACTCTTATCCTAACTTGGGGTTGAGTCTAGTATTTAAATAAGATATGACACACTTATCTATATAACTAGAACCTAAAACTCATACTCAAGAGAACCACTCTTATGATATAGATTTAGGGATTTAAAATAGCACACACAAACAAGTGTATTACTAAGTTGAAAATGGGAATACAATGTGTGTTTAGAATGCTCAGGGATGAGCTTATATAGGCATAGAAAAAGGAGACTACCAAGGCTCTTATTCACACAAACTAAAGGAATTAATGGCCACTTGTTGATGTTCCTTTGGTGGGGCAAAAACACAGGGGTGATTGTACTTGTAGGGTAGGATTCTTGGCAATTAATGGTAGGAGGGAATATGTGAATATAATTCACAACTTATTGGCTTTGGTGGGGCTTTTTTTGGGCACGAGAAAAGTTTGGATGATAGGCTATTTGGATGCATATCCTGGGCAGGATATGGGGGAAACAGAGGGGGGGTTGAAGGGTGTGGGTGTGGGTCAAAGTATCTTGGATTTTGTGGCTGTTTGTTTAGCCAAGTTTAGGTGTTGGCATAACCGTCATGTTGCACACGATGATCAAATAACCAAGGTCGTTCCAAAAGTATGTGACACGCATCCATCCAAGCATGCTTTGCCAATGCTCAAAGAAATGAGGCTTTGCGTATCAACTCGTAAGCCCTTGCCATGATTCAGCCATTGAATCATGTATGGCTTAGGATCTGGTGAAGTTTTTAAGTGCAGCTTGTCCACCATAGTTTTGGAAGCCACGTTAGTGCAACTCCCGCTATGTTTCCACCATAGTTTTGGAAGCCACGTTAGGTCATTAAGCCACGTTAGTTTTTAGAACACACCTTCTTTTGTACGGTGCAACGAGTGTTAAAATGTTCTCCCGTTGCAATTGTTCTTCGGGACATGCTATGGTACTCAAAGTCCTTCGAATGACCAAGAGCTCTCCTTCATTGGGGCCAATGCATTCATCTTGCTCTTTGTTTTCTTCCATGTTCTCTTCAGCCCAAGTTGGATCAAATTCTTTTTCATCACACTTAACGATTTCCATCACCTTTTGTTGAGCACTCGTTAGCATAACGACCTCGTCGTCCTAGACATCGAAAGCAAATGTGTGCTTTCCTTGTCGAGTCCGTTCTAGGAGGAAGAGAGGAGGAGGGGTTCTTAGGTGAGGGAGAGGGGAGGGATCCGTGGGTGGTAGGGGTAGTTTTGGTGGAGTTGAAGGGTGCTTTGGATGGGGGATAGTTTGGCTTTTGGAAAGTGGGGTTGGGCCGTGTGTAGGAGGAGTTACCCTTGGAAAGAAGGGCTTTGGATTTCTTTATTTGTGCTTCAACCTTAAGGGATAGTTTGGTAAGCTCTTCCAGGGATTCATAACTTTGCAACTCTACCATATTGGCTATTTGTAGGTTTAAGCCGAATAGGTATCGTACAAAGGTTTGCTCATCATCTTCATGCAAGTCACACCTTAGCAAGAGTTCCTGGAACTCGCGGGTGTATTCTTCAAGCGATTTAGAACCTTGCTTAAGCATTTGAAGCTTGGCAAAATTCTCACGAACATATTCAGCGGGCAAGAACTTCTTCTCTAAGAGAGACTTCATTTTGGCCCATGTAGCCACCGGCTCCTTGTGGTTCCTTCTCCATTTGGTGCACGTATTAGTCCACCAAGTAGAAGCATCCTTGCGGAACTTCAAGGCCACTATCTTGACCTTCTTCTCATCGGAGACTTCTTTGAAATCGAAAACGCGTTCCACCGTCTCTAGCCATTCTAGAAATTCGTCCAGGTCGTTCTTTCCCTCAAATGTTGGGACATCAACCTTGAAGTCAGACCCGTCATTAGTTTTGGCCTTGTTGGTGCTACTGGTGCTAGCATCATCCTCATGATCACTTCCTTGAAGGGCGTTGAGCTTTATCTTCTTGGTGAGCTTAGCCACTTCTTTGGCCAAGTATTCAACTTGGGCCTTCAAGGCTGCGTTGGAGGCAACAAGCTCTTCATGGGACATGGGTTGGGATTCATTTGACATGGTTGAAGTGGGAAAAAGGTGAGAAGGGCAATTTAGTTTGGCTGTGGGATTTAGGGACAGAGGAAGGGAGTTTTGAGCTCAAAAATGCTTACTTCTTGGTAGGGATGGTGAATGGCCCTTGTGTCCAACACTTAGCTTTGATACCAAATGTTATACCCGAGCTCCAGGATTAGACTTTTAGTATAAGAACAAAGCTTCTTAAATTGCAGAAGAAAGAGATAATCAATGATTAAGGTATGATAATCGACTAACAAGGGGTTCAGTTTCTCGGGAAGATTATTGGGAGTTCAGGGAGGGGGAAAAGTCGATTATCACTTAAGCAATAATCGATTGTGGGATTGTGTGGTTTAGGCCAAGAAAATTCAAGGCAGGATAGTCGATTATCAATAGTTGATAATAGATTATTTTGGTTTTCGGATTCTGCCAAGGAAGTTCAGGGGTGTCGGATAGTCGATTATCAGTGAAGGATAATCGATTAGCAGGGTTACTTGAGGTTTCAATATGGAAGGAATATGGCTGGGGCGGGTAGGGAAGTTATGGGAAGGAATGATAGGGTGCTTTCTGGATTAAGGGACGAAAAGAAGGGGGTTTAGAGTGAGAAATGGAGGGATATAGGGTGGGAGAAAATAAGGGATATATATTATCAAGTTGGGGTTAAGAGATATTACACACTCTTATCCTAACTTGGGGTTGAGTCTAGTATTTAAATAAGATATGACACACTTATCTATATAACTAGAACGTAAAACTCACACTCAAGATAACCACTCTTATGATATAGATTTAGGGATTTAAAATAGCACACACAAACAAGTGTATTACTAAGTTGAAAATGGGAATACAATGTGTGTTTAGAATGCTCAGGGATGAGCTTATATAGGCATAGAAAAAGGAGACTACCAAGTCTCTTATTCACACAAACTAAAGGAATTAATGGCCACTTGTTGATGTTCCTTTGGTAGGGGAAAAACACAGGGGTGATTGTACTTGTAGAGTAGGATTCTTCGCCATTAATGGTAGGAAGGAATATGTGAATATATATAATTCACAACTGATTGGCTTTGGTGGGGCTTTTTTTGGGCACGAGAAAAGGTTGGATGATAGGTTATTTGGATGCATTTCCTGGGCAGGATATTGGGGAAACAAAGGGGGGTTGAAGGGTGTGGGTGTGGGTCAGAGTGTCTTGGATTTTGTGGCTGTTTGTTTAGCCAAGTTGAGGTGTTGGCGTAACTGACATGTTGCACACGATGATCAAATAACCAAGGTCGTCCCAAAAGTATGTGACACACATCCATATGGATGATATCACACCATACGTCATCCTTGTATGCTTTGCCAATGCTAAAAGAAATGAGGCTTTGCGTATCAACTCGTAAGCCCTTGCCATGATTCAGCCATTGAATCGTGTATGGCTTATGATCCGGTGAAGTTTTTAAGTGCAGCTTGTCCACCATAGTTTTGGAAGCCACGTTAGTGCAACTCCCGCTATCAATGATAAGAGAACACACCTTCTTTTGTACGGTGCAACGAATGTTAAAATGTTCTCCCGTTGCAATTGTTCTTCAGGACATGATATGGTACTCAAAGTCCTTCAAATGTCCAAGAGCTCTCCTTCACCGGGGCCAATGCATTCATCTTGCTCTTTGTTTTCTTCCATGTTCTCTTCAGCCCAAGTTGGATCAAATTCTTTTTCATCACATTTAACGATTTCAATCACCTTTTGCTGGGCACTCGTTAGCATAATGACCTTATCGTCCTTGACATCGAAAGCAAATGGGTGCTTTCCTTGTCAAGTCCGTTCTAGGAGGAAGAGAGGAGGAGGGGTTCTTAGGTGAGGGAGAGGGGAGGGATCCGTGGGTGGTAGGGGTAGTTTTGGAGGAGTTGAAGGGTGCTTTGGATGGGGGATAGTTTGGCTTTTGGAAAGTGGGGTTGGGCCGTGTGTAGGATGAGTTACCCTTGGAAAGAAGGGCTTTGGATATCTTTATTTGTGCTTCAACCTTAAGGGCTACTTTGGTAAGCTCTTCCAGGGATTCATAACTTTGCAACTCTACCGTGTTAGACAAATGTGCAACTCTAGGGGGGGGGGGTGAATAGAGTTGTTTTCAAGAATGTGCGTTTTTCGCGTGTGTGAAATAATAAAATCGCAGGAATAGATAAAAAGAGTAAGGGAAAGAAGAACACCGAGATTTATACTGGTTCACCACCTCGTGGCTAGTCCAGTCCTCCGAGAGACTCTCTCGAAAGTCCTACTAATCTTCAAGCTTCAACGGGTGCTTGAAAAACCGGTACAACTTGAGAACTTGAATCACACAAGCCTCACTTTCTTACAACAACAAGACTTGAGTCACACAAGTCTTAAGAACAACACTCAAATGAGATTGAGNAGAGTCATCTCAATGTCGGTGCCATTAACGGAGGTTTTGAGGACCCGTCCGTTGAAAGTGAGATTTGTATAAAACAACCGAATTAGATTCGGACAATACACAGGAAAATTCTCACGAACAAAAGAAGTAACACCAAGTCTATCAATGAAAATTGTGGCATCTTGGAAAGGTAGATGACAAAATACGGTATGAAGAACGCATTTGGGTGTCAAAATAGGACGATTCAAGAAATCATTATAGAAGAGGCGTTTAGAATCACCTCTTGGAAAGACAAATGAAGAGACAAATCGTTCCTCTTGGGTAGATGGTTCACTGTCATGAGATTTTGTGCGCAAACGTTTACTTCCTCGACGATCCGACATGGTGGCTAGGGTTTGAGCACGAGAAGAACGAGAAACCCTAAGAGAGAAAGGAAAAACCACTTAATCTCAAGAAAGCGAAAAAAAGTAACAATAATCATCAATTTACAACAATTAATAAGTAATTTGCAAGAAAATTGAAGATACGAGGCGACGAACAAACCTGGGAATCGAAGAACCTTGGTCGCCGATAGAGAGAGACAGAGCAGATAACAGAGACGATGGAAAATGGAAAAAAAACGAAGAAGGGAGAGTATATATACCGTAAGTCAGAGTGATCGATCCATCCAAGGAGATCGATCCTCCGTAAAAGAGTATCTGCGCCTTTTAAGTCCAGGTGATCGATCCCTATGCTTGGATCGATCCGCCGAAACAGATCCTGGAACCAAATAAAACCATGGATCGATCCATAAGCCTGGATCGGTCCTCCTGACGTTGGGCTGAATACAGATTTGATTATTTCGCCCAGGTGATCGGTCCATTGGGTGGATCGATCTGCCGAAGAAAAACTGTGAAAGAGAAAGGCCCAATGGATCGATCCTATATCCGGGATCGATCCGCCAAAGTTTAATTTGAAAAAGCTTCGGTTTGGGTGATCGATCCAATTGTGGAGATCGATCCCCTCTGTTCCAGTTTCGAAAACTGCCCTGAAACACTGAAAATATACCCTGCAAAAAAGAATTATTGCTCCTCCGACACTCAAATTAGTACCATCAATAAAAAGAGTGAATTAATTCATAGAGATATCCAAAATGCCAAATTCATTCCGAATGTGGAAGAAACTCTCCCTACTAAGGGGTTTCGTGAAAATGTCCGCCAATTGATGTTTCGTTTCAACAAACTCAATTGTGACATCTCCCTTTTGGACATGATCTCGTATGAAGTGATGCCTAATTTCTATGTGTTTAGTCCGCGAGTGAAGAACGGGGTTCTTCGTTAGACTAATAGCACTCACATTGTCACACCTAATTGGGATGTGATCAAGTATAAGGCCGAAATCCACTAATTGCTGTTTTAGCCAAAGAATTTGGGCACAACAACTTCCCGCAGCGACATATTCTGCTTCGGTGGTGGAAAGTGCAACACTAACCTGCTTCTTACTAAACCACGAGATTAACGAATGACCGAATAAGTGGCAAGTACCGCTGGTACTTTTCCTATCGAGTTTGCAACCTGCAAAGTCCGAGTCGGAATAGCCAACAAGATGACATGTCGAACCTTTGGGATACCAATGACCTACGTTCAACGTGCCCGCGAGATATCGCATTATCCTTTTGATCGCAACCAAGTGCGACTCTTTAAGACATGATTGATATCTAGCGCATATACAAACGGAGTACATGATATCCGGTCTACTCGCGGTAAGATAAAGTAAAGAGCCGATCATACCTCGGTAGCGTTTGATGTCTACCTCTTTACCTTTTTCGTCCTTGTCAAGATAGCAAGATGTGCTCATTGGTGTGTCAATGGATTTGGATTCGGTAACATCGAATCTTTTAAGCAATTCCCTGCAATATTTCGTTTGACACACGAATGTTCCTTCTTTGCATTGTCTAATTTGCAGCCCAAGGAAGAACTTTAATTCTCCCATCATCGACATTTCAAATTCACTTTGCATCATATCGGAAAAATCCCTGCACAAAACCTCGTTAGTAGCACCGAATATGATATCATCTACGTAAACTTGAACCAAAAGGATGTCTTGGTTATCTTTCTTGATGAAAAG